AGCTTTTTATTTCTTTAAAAAGTGTACCAACTATAATTATCCACAACTATGCAGGCCTGTTTTAATGCTGTTTTATAATTACAGGTCTTAAAGCTAGATTATACAAAGTCATTTATAAATAGTCGGAACAGAGGGACTTTGGGAGTTTTTAACCTGTGGATTGCTGTGGGTTGTGGCAGCTGACGAGATTTTGCCTGTGTATATATGGGGTGAGCTGTGTAATGATTGATGAATCCCTTAATTAACTCCCAACAAGTTAAGATTTATGGCCTCATATCTTCTTCTCCTGACACATCTGTGTTTGTCACTTTTGAAGACAGGGATAAGCCACTTCTCCAAAAGCTTTTGTGGGTATCTGAAATGTTTCTGAGGTATTTTGCCTAATGTAACAAGATTAGAGTTTTATGACATAAAATTTATGAAATTTTATGGCACGAACAATCGCATTGGGAGGGATGCTGGTTGTGTGCTAGAGGGCACTATCTGCTTGAATACTGGATACCACTTTAGATTTATTTTGGGTATACAATCATGTATGAAATGAACTGAAACCAGTGAACAAATGGAAATGTAGTGGAGGACACTTAAATGAGTTTCTGTTAAAAATAATAACAATAAAAAAAATAGAGCTGTGGAAAGACACTGAATTCAAGGGAAAAAAACTAACAAGCATAATAGTCTTATTTAGCCTGAAATTATTTGGATGGAACCAATACTTGTAGATGGCATGAGGAAACAATTCATGTGAAGGTAGTGTAGTTGTTATTCTCTCCAGTGGGAAACTCCAGCCATGCTGAAGTCAGTCCAAAAACACTGAGATCAATAGACACTGGGTATCAGTTTAAGCCTACAAAGAGTCTGTTATAAATTGAAGGAGAGTAAAGAAATACGTGGAGAAACTATTGTAACATGAATCACATAAAATATTTGTTAGATAAGAGTGAGTTAGAAGAGTGAGATTTTCCTTCCCTGAAAAAAAAAAAAAAAAAAGACCAAAACATTTTTGCTACCAGGAAAAGCATTTCTTTAATGAAAATTTAACAAAAGGCTTGGTTTTTTACTGCAATTTCTGCATGTTAAGAAGCCTTTGTGAAAACAGAAATAAGAGTCTCTTTACAGGAAACAGCGTTGTATTTGAATTCAGGGCCAGAACTAAATCTTCAGTTCCATCCTAACCGCTGATGAAAATCAAGTGTGGGGATACATTTCACAATTCCAGTGTTTCTGTACAGTGGGCTGGGTACTGCCTGTGTCCCACTGCATCAGAACTTTGCAGATTGAGGTTGTCTATAAAATGACTCCTTAGCTATTTTTATTCAGTAAGAAATGATTAATGACAGTTCAAAGTGCAACTCTTCTTGCAGGTCTTAAGTTGCAACAGATTTCATCTGCAGCGACACCCTTTTACATTCACACTCTGATCCACTGTATTGCTACTTTTCTGAGTTATATCCTGGGGTTTTGTTGGGTTTTTTTAATCATATCCATAAGTTCCATGTTTGAGGAAACTGTTGTTTCCTCTTCCATTGTAAATCTTCTTTCAGAGTGGTGTAGTTGAAAACCGTTCTGAGTTTAAACTAGTTTGGGAAACAGATCTTGAAGTCATGTAAGTTGTAAACTGTTGTGTTATCACTGAGGGTAAATCCAGGATATTTGCAGTCCTTTGTTAAGATGAGGTAATACCAGTACTTCATTAGATAGATCTGTGTAAAAGAGCTCAGTTTCAGATAATCTGGTTACTCAGAATTTATCTGTTTCCCTTTCCTTATTGTTTAGAATGGGAACTCGCATCTTAGATACGAAATTAGTGAAGACCCTGTATTAGCTCAGTAGGATAATAAAGATAAAAGAAAAAAACAGAATTCAAGGATACATGGTGTGGGAGCATTTCAGATTCAGAAAATGGACCTGTAGAAATAATGAAAGACCATCTGTGAACAAATTTCCCTTGTATCATGTTTTCTACTTGTGAACCTGTCGGAGATTTGATCCTTTGCTGCTATGGTCTTTTATAGTTACTGTCCTTTTGGAAGACATTTCCAGAAGTAGATACAGATTTATAATTTATTTATTTAAATCTTCCAGTCTCTTGTGCAAATTTCACAGTTATTCATAGGCAGGAGGAAATTCCTGTGAAACTCTGAGGTTTGTCTAACTCATGTTGACTATGGATAGAGTGCATCCATTTCTTTGAGTGTCCCAGTCACTTGGAAGACTAATGCAGATTACAACCTCAATTTTGCTGCCTTAGCTATTTTAGCAAGTTGTTAGCCTCCCAGGAACGTGATAGCACGTGGCTTTTAATTTAAACTGCATCTTCTAGAAGCAAAGGAAAAAGTTTCTTCTCTCTCTTAGTATCACTTTAGTTTGACCTACAAACCAACCTATAGGTTTATGGTTTAGATCTGAAGCATGATAATCTATGTTATTCTGAGTGCATGGAGGTGGACACCTCTATTGCCTTCCTTGCCTGTTTTTATAAATTCCCTGCAGAAAATGATTTCATCCCTGTTGGGTACAGTGACAAGCTGAAGATGATGATCTGCAGCTTTCTAGCTGAAGTGCAGTAGCTAGAACTGTGTATTTACTTATAAAGTTAACAGAAGAGCTTTATTTCTGTGTGATAGTCAAACTCCCCTTGTGAAGCAACGTGGCAGAATCTGGGTTAACATCAATAGGAGTTTTTAACACAGTTTGAGTATACAGTGTATAACCCAAATCATCCATACAAAGCAAGGCATCCTCTCTCTATAATTTATTGCCAGAGTGAATTGCAGTGGAGGCTTTTGTAGATGGTTTGCAATATTTTCAGTCATCTTATTGAATATAAATGTTCTAAAGTATAGAACATTACTGTGGAATAATTGACTAATGATTTTGTGTCTCTGCCCTTTTGTTTGCCAAAATTGAGACAACTGCTTAGTGCTGATTTTCAGAAAGAGAGATTTTGTAAAAACCCTGGCTTCTGTTAAGGCAGTGTTGAAATGAGCAACCAAAAAACTTAAAATCAATAGAAAATATGTATCTCGGTGAGGTACAATCCAGAATATGAATAATTCACATTAACTTCAGAAGGGAGTTGTATGGTTTCTGCACAAGAAGAGCTTGAGATCTGTCACGTCAAACATAGCTGTAAAATGCTGAATTCAGTGGGCTAGTAAAAAACTGATCTCTGTCTTTATGCATATGCTTTGCTGCAGACACGTAGGTGGGAAAGCCTAGAAGACAGAATTCAGGTAGGATGTATGAAGTGTTAGTCTGTTGGACTAAGTCAAACATTAATAGAAAATACAGATTGCTTCTCTAAGCGCAGGCAATAGGTGGTGTTCAGAACAGGCAGTGTGCAGCTGAGTATAGGTTCTGGTAGGGATTTTTTTGTCTGAGTTTTTGGTGGTGGTGGAGGGTTTTTTTGTTTTGTGGTTTGTTTTTTTTTTTTTTAATATAATCTAACTTGGCTTGGGAGGCAAAGCTCAAAATGAGATCATTAGAAACAAAATAAGTCCTAACAAAGGGCTGTTTAAAGTCGCTGTTTGTTTTCAGACCCAGTTGACTGCTGCTAAGAACCATTCCGTGCTCAATATGCCAAATCGTATGGACATGCTCCACCTCACAGCAGCCCCACGCATGGTTCAAGAGGCTGCTGGGCTTTTGAAATGCAGTCCTTTAACTGTGAGGTGGAAAATCAAAATGGGGTAATTAGAATCATAAATACGAGATTTTTGAGGAGGAGCATTATTCCTTCAGCCCGTTTTTCCAACTTTTCCGTACAATAGTCTTCAGTTTTCTTGTTCGTAACTTCTTTTTTTTTTTTTTCTATGAAGCATTTCTCTAGCTTGCTTTCTTTTCTTCTTTTAACTGTGGCTGTAGGATTTCTTGTTTCTCATTCCACTCTTTCTTACAGATGCCCCTGCATAGCACAGGGGTGCATTATGCCATCCATGCACATACCCTGATTTTCATGAACAGTGTTGCTGTAATCAATTCCAGAAGTCATCTGCATTGTAGTACTTCACTGCACCCCTCTGTTTTGAAGACCAAACTGGAAGAATTCTGGGTTCAAACTGTCCTGTAAGATTTTCAGTAGTGCTTGGTTTAGATGAAACCTAGATTTTCCAGTAAAGCTGCTTTCAGTCTTTCTAAAAGTTGAAGATATACACGTTGCTGTAAGAACAGTGTTATTGGACAGTCTAAAAAACTTCAGAATATGGGCCTGAATTTTAGGTCAAGGTTTGTGTGTGATTTTTATAGTATGTGCTCTGTGTATCTTCCTTGTGTATCCTTTTTTATATATAAATGTAAATTACATTTACACATATTTAAGACACAGGTAAGAAGATTTGATAGAAAATCTTCATTCAGTTAGTATACCCCTGAATTTGTGTTCTCAAAAAGCTTAGATTATTAATGCTCAAATGTTTAATTTCTTAACTATACCAGATCTGCAAACCTGGAAAGATTCTTACAACATGACTGTAACACTCTGTTGTTCACATGGGTGAAGTTTTATAAACACAGACAGTTTGGCTTGCTAGCAAGTTGCTTTATTGTATTGTATTTTATTTTACTTTATTTTTTTATCAGTTATGGTTGATAATGACATGCAGATGATTATCCCTTAAAAGCTAAGTTGACAATAGCTTGTATCGGGAGACATTCTGTCTTCTTACAGTCTCTTGCAAATGCAAAACCAGATGGGTATTTTTTTAAAGGAATTGCATTTCATTATGCAGTCTTAGGTGAATTTTCATGTTTAAGAAGCCAGAATACAAGAGAGTGCTATATTAGTGTATTATTCTCACAACAAACAAGCCACTGTTCTGTTGCTACCTGCTTGGCCATTGTTCCCAATTGTGTATGCTTTGCAGTGGTATTTGGATGGTTTCCTGCTCTCTGCCAGCACAAAAAAGGCATTTCTGTTACAATGGCCCCTAACCACACAATGACGGCATTAAGGATTTATTTGGAGGTTTCATTATTTTCTCCTCTTTTGTTCCTTCCAGGATGTCTTCCAAGCGACCAGCCTCTCCGTATGGGGAAGCAGATGGAGAGGTAGCCATGGTGACAAGCAGACAGAAAGTGGGAGAAGAGGAGAGTGACGGGCTCCCAGCCTTTCACCTTCCCTTGCATGTGAGTTTTCCCAACAAGCCTCACTCTGAGGAATTTCAGCCAGTTTCTCTGCTGACGCAAGAGAACTGTGGCCATAGGACTCCCACTTCTCAGCACAACACAATGGTAGGTTTGCTAATGGTCTATTGTGCTTACATCCATTCTTTGAATTCTGCCTCTGCAGTAGTTTGGCATCCAGATCTGTACTTTACGGAGTATACAATGCACAGTTACACGTACAGAACACGCTACAATACTGTGAAAGCCTTGACCTGGCTGGGCTGCCTTTACCCTCCACTATGAATGCTAAATCACTTGCAGTGCAGACTTCTCCTCACCTTTGCCTGATGGCATTTAGGACGCTAAAATTTGTTAACTACAGTGAATTTGAGGTGTATGTGTTCAACAAACAGTAAACGGTTTTGGAACACTCGTAAGTGAGAGTCACGTTTGGCGTTGTGTCTGAAATATCACCCCAATGCCAAGTTTATGCAGTAGTAAAGCACGGGAGTGAGTCTGTATAAAGGGTAAAAAAAAAAAACAACTTTGAATTTTGATGGTTTTAAAAATTCACATCTGTTGTGTAATTCATACACCACAGATACATACAAGAAAATTTGCTGTACTTATGGAATTAAGTCAGCATACTACTTTTGCACTTAAGAATTTCCACCTTTTTGTGCACTCTACAAATGACACTGAGCACTTAATTCCTTACATTTAGCAGCTCACTGGAAGTCCAGAACTGGCTGTATCTAAAAGGAGACAAAAAGAACAAAAAGCCATGCCGTGTTCCTCACTAGTATCGTAGTGTCACTTTTGTAACGTGGGCCCTTCAGGGGGAATCCTGTGATATATTTTTAGAAAGGTTGAAAGGTGCAGGGGAAGGCACTGAAACCCCAGGACTGAGGCACCTCGACAAAGCTGCCTATTGTGAACACACTTGCACAGCTCTTGCCTGTTTACAGATTGACTGTAACTTTTCTCTTAGTCCTCCACTTTGACAAGGGCACTGACAATTTCACTTTAAGTGAAGATAATGAATGGACCTGCATATTTGAAGGCTTTTAAAAAGGCATTGCAAAATAGGTGATAGTGTATTCTCATAAAAGCCTGCAACAGCTCCACAGTGGTATTTAAGCCCTTACAGCTCATTATGCATATGTAATAAGCCCTAAGTAAAAAGCCTTAGGGATTATTATTTCTCATAGGACCAAGTCACTGGATATTCACTGAAGCTGCTCTGCTAGACAAAATAACTCGCTGATCCTGATCCATTTTTCTTCCTTTTTTGGGCTAATGCTTAAGTTCAAACAGTGGTTTGGAATATTTAATTTTACTTTGTGTTATTGCAACTTTACATGAAGAAAGAACAGCATTGGAGAAATTACTCATGGGCAGACATGTCATTATCTTTTTTAAGCTTGTTTACTTCTCATCCTTTATCTTATGTTTTGTGGAGATGGAATTCATTAATATACAGTTCCAGCCAATGGGATGTTAGGGTATGTGACTGGTCTCTGAGCTTTGCAGTATTTTGGCCTATTTTGAGAGAGTGTGTTGAAGATAAGAAGTAGTTTCTGACAACATTTAAGTAATAGATAAAATTGTGATGGCACCAGTAGTGTAGAATCAGACCCCAATGAAATAAAAACTTCGTGTTTTCTAAGGAGCCCAGCAGAAGTATTTTAACTACACCTCACTGAAACACTTAGCTGCACTTTAATTGATTTTAACTAACTTTTTTATTCATTTATAGCTTTTAAGACCAAGAAGTTTAGCTGAGCATCTAGTGTGACTTCCTACTATGAAGGCTGTATTTAATGTGATGTCAAAACAGTGTGTTCTGACTCTTTGTAATACAGGATACTGAATCATTGTGTGTTTTAGACAGTTTTGCAGTAGCAGCAACATACTGTAGGCTTATCTGAGGCAGTTTTTGGGGTTTATAAGGGACTGCTTTTGTCTTCATAAATATTTAAGTAAATTACCAGTTTGTATGAATGTGACGTTTTGGCAATATCTCTCTTTTAGTGAGGAGTGTCTTGTAAAAATCATCAGCCAGGTAGATCAGAAAGGATGTAACCCGTGTGTCTCCAGAAAGAAGGAAGCGATCAGTGTAAATAGGATATACATAAAATATACATAATCACACCGTCTGCTGTTGTGGTATGTAGTTATAAGAAGGAAGTAACTGAATAACCTCTGGATGGCTTCAGTTTTTGTGATTAGCAGTTATGAAAATCATTCCCAAAGGGTATTCACTTCGTTAGCATTGCAGAGGTCATTTTTACACTGTTCGAATTGACATTCTGTGTATTTTATAGTCTCTGGGCAGCAAATCCAGGTGTATGCACATGTGCACACACCACCACAGAGTGCAGTCCAATACAGTTTTATTGATAAAGCTCCAGCAGCGTCCTTCACACTTCTTAATAGCTTGTCAGCTGCACTGCTGCACCTTCTGACTGAGCCAGCAAGTGACTATGGAGTTCTCATTTTGCAGCCACATGCTGTCTTTGGCAGTGTCCACCTTTACAGATCTCTCCAGTGTCACGTGAGAAGGTTTCAGAGGTACAGGCAGTCTGAAATCATGTAGTGCATCGCTCTGCTGCACCTGCCTAAACCTTACTGCTTTGTGTGCTAAAACTCTTTGTCAGCTAAGACTCCTCTCCAGAGGGATTCTTAGATAGTCGTGGTATAGATCCAGAGAGGTCTTGCTCTGTTAGCTACATGTACAACACCCATTTGGTTTAGGGAACAACCTCAGCAGAAGAAAGCCACGGCCAAGGGATTTGGGAAGGTTATGGAATTACAAAGCTTTGTCATGTCTTTATTCCTCTTGTCACCAAAGCCATCCCTGCCGCCTCATATGCTGACTCTCAGCAATGGGTCAGGAAGGGACAGCTGGGAAAAGAATTTCAACCTTGAGAATCAATTACTTGGCCTCACTTTTCTAGGTGCTAATTGATCCTCTGTTTCATAGGTTACTTCCAGCTGTGCTTCCTTTTACAAGTCCTGCCAGCCTGGAACATCCCAGGATCCTTAAGGTACAGGACTGATTGCACCACAGTTACAACCGAATGGTTTACCCAACTTAGACTTTGGAAAATTGACCCTGTTGCACTTTACCAATTTGCAACAACTGCCAACTTAGAGAGGCATCTCAGAATACTGAGTAAATGTTTATAAAAGGAGGACAGACTTCCTAGAAAGAAATCTTACAACCTGACCAAAATTTGCAAAAAATCTGCAAAGCCCATCTCCCCGTCAGGATGAACAGGGTATTTCTGAGGATGCTGGAACTGCAGCCAGAGAAAGGTTAGTGTAGTGGGCACAAACTGAAACACAGCAGAGTCCCTCTGAACATCAGGAAATGCTTTTTATTGTAGGGGTGACTGAGCATAAGAACAGGTTGTCCAGGGAGGTTGTGGAGTCTCCCCCCTTAGAGATATTCAAATGCCATCTGAACGTGGTCCAAGGCACCAGACCAGGGATTGGACCAGATGTACTCTGGAGATCCCTACCAGCCTCAACCAAGGCAATTCTATCCCAGACTGTCTTCCTCTTGATAGAAGAAACTGCATACTTATTGTAAGTAGGAAAACTCTTCTGCGGATAAGAAATTTATCAGACTTAAACCAAAGGCTCAGTACGAAATACAAGACAAATAATTTGACCTAGAATATATCTGAGAGTCCCCTTAGGATGTTCATAGCAGACCATAAGCTTAGTGGGGAAGCACTTGAGGATTATGCTATCAATCAGTAGCTCTTTCGAAGAAAACTGTTAAGGCTACAGTATTTGGATGGCATGAGTTAGCTTATCTAAGTTACTAAGGTTTATTTTATTTCTTCTTGTTTGCCTTACCATTTTGCTTGTGCCACCTCTCAAGACTACTGATCTCACCAGTGGTGTCCGTGTGCTAACTTCTGAAATTAAGTGATGTCAAGGCTGAAAATACTGATTAAAATATGCCACAGGCACAGTATGCTCAAATCCCACCATTCTTTTTAACTATAGAATATCAATAAAATGCCAGATAAGATTTAAAAAAGCAAAAACAACAAAAAAATGAAGTATTGATCCAAAGATCAAACTGTTGTGGTGTAATTTTGCCACTGTCCAGTTGTTACAAACTGTGTGACTGCATTGTTAGCCCACGTTTGTCCTGCACTTTCAGTGGGGTTTAGAATTAATTTTCAGCAGTGCTTTAAATTGATAGGAAATATTACCGTGTGCTGTTAAGTGGCCTTGTTGCTTCACACTAAAAGAAGTTGTGTTTCCGTGGTGAGTGAAGTTATTCCTCCATAACTTGGGAATAATTTTAAGAAAGTTTAGTCATATTAAGAATAGCAGTATTACTGGTCGAAGAGCTTCCTGACGTGCTGCTTCATGCTTTTCCTCCACTTGTCCAAAATAAAAGGGTCTTCAATGCTGAATTTGAATTCTGTTATCACATCTATCCTGGCCTGTGCTTCACCTGTTGGTCTGGAGTTTGTCAGCATATGAATAGTAATGGATCAGAACAACAAGCACTTAGCTACTATTCAGAACTTCCGAAGAGAATGGAAATCTGAATGCATATAGCTTTTTAAAAAGTCAAATAGGACTCTAATTATACTGAGCTAAAGAATGCCTATTAAAAAAAAAAAAACCAACACAGTGGTTTTAGAGAAATTTTAATTTCCAGTGTACCTTTGTGCATCAAGCTTAGGATAAGTTATTGTGATGATACAATGGATAGTGTTGTGAACACCAGTGCCGTTACTGTGCCAGCTCTAATAATGAGAATTTCATTGTTTGGGGAGAGCAGTCTCCTACACTCTAGACAAAAGTGTAATTACTTTTGAACGATGTGGAATGTGCTCAGTTTAATAGCACGGAGAATAGATTCACAAAGATTCAGATAAAGCTAGCTTGGAAGCCATATGTGCAATGTGGCAGTATGAAATTGTTAGCAGGCACCATAATTACAACACACACACACACACAATTTCACAGTTTAAACTATAAACTGTTGTTTTTCTAAGAGTTAGACAGGCTTATCTGAACAAGACTAGTTCAATTAAAACAAAGCAGAAACGGTGGGAAGTTTGCATTTGTCTGATGTTCTTCCCTTCATC